AATGTTGCTACACACTCATGTACAGTAGGTGGCTGCATGCAGCTTGCAATTCGTCATAATATAAAATAACTTAAAATAATTAGGAGAATATATAATTAATTATCAGGAGAATTATTAGCAATATTATTAGCACTACAATGTATAGAGGAAGGGAGACCATTAAGATCAATTATATGTTCAGAATCAAGTTCAGCTTTAATCAGTATACAAATTTTTTTTTCAGAAAGTAGATCAGACAAATTTAATTGAAATACAGCAAGTTTTATATCAAGTTCAAATGATGGGTATTAGTGTTATATTTATTTGGATGCCAGCACATATAGGGATTAAAGGAAATGAAATTGCAGATAAGATTGCTGAGGAAGCATCTCAAATTAAAACCATTGATATGATGATTAATTTAAGTAAGACAGAAATGAAAAGTATCATTAAACAAAGGATGAAGGAAAAGTTGCAAAAACAATGGGAAGATGAAAGGAGAGGAAGATGGTTTTATAGGAGAAATGAGGAGAGCAGAAGAGAGGAAACAGTTTTTTTCAGGACTTAGATTTGGGTATAAAGGATTAAATAATACACTATTCAAAATAGGGAAACACCTATCGGGTAAATGTGAATATTGTGGACATGTAGAAACTGTAGAACATGTAGTGATGTATTGTAAGAAGTATGAAGAAGAAAGAAGGAATTTGGTTAGATCTAAATATGGAGAAAGTTAAATTTGATTTGATAGATATTCTGCAGAAAAAGTAAAGAAAAAATGTAAAAAGATTTATTTAAATATTTAACAATAAGAGGAATAATTAGGAGTATTAGTATTTTTTTAGAGTATTTGTATTTGTATAGATATAGAATATATATAAATAAAAGTAACTTTATGAATAGGGTCATTCTGATGCACACTCCTCACCAGTTGGTGGCGGTAATGCACCGAAAACTGGTTGCCAACCGCCATTAAACGCAACAGAAAAGATATGATAGAAAAGAAGAAGAAGAAGTAGAAGAAGAAGAAGAAGAAGAAAGTATTGAACGTGTACCAGCTGAGTGAAATTTGTCCTGCTGAGGCACCGCTTTCAGCATAGATATCCGACATGGAGATTGACATCCTCATCGCACTGGAGGATTTAGGGTGAGTGTGAAGACAGCTGCCCGCTGACTGTCATGCCTGCCTGTTTGCTAGCTGCTTAGCGGGGCTCTGAAGGCTAAGCTAGGAGGCCAGGAGGTAACGGATACATTATTCTGCTGGCAGTGAGAGCACAAGCTGGACGCCCTGGCTCTGGCTGTTCCGCTCGCGGCTATGTGAAGCCGAGGAGTGGGGCCCCGTTTGCTGCCTTTCTCAAATTTCAGAATAAACTGTGTGGGCATGAAAAAGGTCAGAGTTCAGCAGCGTATTTATGTGCTGATAATTAGGAAAGCTGTGGAGCGGTTCTTGCTGCTGGTGCCTGTCCAGATTCCCGGTGTTCTGGATCAACTGGTAGCAGCTGGAAAAGCGCTGATGCTTGCAGGTGTCTCTGTGGGCGTGGCTTTTCAGGGCCCCTTTGTCCAAACAGGACATAAAATGTGTGTTTTTTTTGTTTTTTGTTTTTTTTCACTTAATGTCAGCAATAACATATGGAATATTCAGATAAACAATCAAATATGCCGGGGGGTATAGTAATATAATCACAATAAACAAGTACAGTCTGGAGGAAAGACAAACAAACTTGCAAAATTATGTGTTTAGGAGTATCATATATACATATGTGTATAAACAGATTTACATACATATATTGTACCAAAACACATATATTCTATGAAGATAAATTGTCCAGACTTTTTAGTTGGGAACAGATTGAAATGTGTGGGGGTTTTTTTTGTTTTGTTTTTTTGTTGTCCCTTTTGGTTAGGGTTGGGAATTAAGATTTTCACGATTCCGATTCTCTTACGGATTCTGTGAAACGATTCGATTCTCTTATCGATTCTCGTCCCGGTCATCTAAAGCTAATGGAGAAGGCATCCGTTTAGTGAAAAAGCATTACTGTAAACTCATCTCCCCCTGATTTAAATCAACGAGCATCAGTTTTCTCTCGCTCTGTGAACTGCGGAGCAACTTTGTAGCATGTTTCCTTACAGAATTGCAGCTACCAGTAGTTCTAATTAAATATACTAGCAATGAAGGACTGGATTAACTAGAAAGGCACACTTCTTTAATAACCCCAAAGAGAGGTAGGAACTTGGTTTATTTCCAGAAATGTCATATGATTTACTTGGAACCACATGAAGCACAGCCAGTGATATAAAACTAGCTACTTACCACCAGAGTTGCCTTCCATGCTTGTCGTAACTTTAGCTTCTGTCCGGAAGCATCAAAAACACGACATTCATTAAAATGTATGCCATGTTGTGTGCACAGGTGTTTCTGCATGTTGGATGTACTTCTTCCCGCCGATGTAATTGCCACTTTGAAATGATTGCAAACTGCCTTGATGCATTCTTTCTCTTCCTTAAAATGAAGCCAAACTTTCGATCACTTTGAGCTCTTTTATTTGCTTTTCTAGACTTACGCCTGGTCACGTCGTACTTGTTTACTGAATGCCGTGTGTGAAACTTGCATAAAAAAAAACGTGACCCAACAGGGGTTGACTTTAAGGATTTTTACCACTTGCCCAAAGGGCAAGTGACTTTCACATTTGCCCAGAAACATTTTTTAGTTGCCCAGTATAATGTTTGATAAATATGGTTCCTAATATTCATTTTTGTATATATATCAATGAAACATGTTTGTTTTTTAAATGTTTTTTGTAATTCAGTAAGTTTCCAGGTTCCTGGTGTGTATCTGCATGCGTCAGATAATGAACTCAAGCCTACATTACCGTGTTAAGATGCTTTTCAATCCTTCCTGCACATTCTTTTCAAACTTAACTTTGCTTTAAACTGTTTAGTGCTTGGAAAAATATAAATTGTAATGTTAAAAATCTAAAAAAAAACTTGACAGGTTAAAACCTTACACTACTACTACTCACCAATTTAACCTTTTTCTTTATAACATTTAAATGCACCTCTCCAATGTCTAAGAGAAAAAAATGTAATTTTTATGTATGACCTGCATCACTGTACAGAAGACTGCCATATGATAGCGCTTTGTAGATGTTTGTCGTTTTGGTAACTAAATCAAAATTACCGCTAGGTGGACAAAAATCACGGCATCTGACGGAAAATTACCCGGCTTTTTCAAATCACGCGAGAATGTGTACAAAACAACAAAAATGGCGCCGGCAACGCTTCTGGGTCGTTTTCATCGAATGTCGGGGATTTTAAAGTAATTTTGAGTAATGATAATTTTTTTTTTTTTTTGCCCACTGGGCAAATGCAATGAAATGTGTACTCTCCCAACAATAAAAACTACTTGCCCCGGGCGATCGGGCAGTGGTTAACATCGCGCTAGGCTCTGGTGCTGCCTGGAATTATTAAGGGAATTGTTAAGCTAGCTGCCAAACGGTGTCATGGAATTGGAACACACGGAACCGGTTCTGAACAGGAACCAGTTTTCGATTCCCATGCCTACTTTTGGTGAGAGGAGGGTTTAATGTTACTAAAATCCATCCATCCATTATCCACCACGCTTTATCCGAAGCGGGGTGGTGAGGGGGGCTGGTGCCTATCTCCAGCTGTCTACGGCAGGCAGGGTCCACCCTGGACAGGTCGCCAGTCCATCCGCTGGCAACACAGAGACAAACAATAAATCACACCTAAGGAGAATTTAGAGAAGCCAATTAACCTAACAGTCATGTTTTTGAACTGTGGGAGGAAGCTGGAGTACCCGGAGAGAACTGGCGCATGCTCAGGGAGAACAGGCAAACTCCATGCAGAAAGACCCCGGGCTGGGAATCGTACCCAGAACCTTCTTGCTGCAAGGCAGCAGTGCTACCCACTGCACATCCTAGTACTAAAATATTAAGTTCAAATAAATAAACATTAAAGTCTGGCTTTGTTTCATTTGAATTTCAATTTATGCAAATTAAATTAAGAGTCTGATAAGGAAAGGTTTGGGAAACCTTTTACTTTGCAGCTGAAAACCAAATTGAACGTTTTCCCTACAAAGTTGAAAATCTTTTAAAATATCTGAACCCCCATAGTTACAAAAGTGTTCCCAGAAAGTCTTAGCGTATGGACACAAGCGGAACAAATGTGTAACAGATTCTTGAAGAAGATCACAGACAGTGCAGTTCACAATAATATCAGATTTGAATTTTTTAAGGTAGTCTTTGGCTGGATAAATCCTGTTTGAATGAAACTTCCCTCACCTTGTTGGAGAGGAGATGGTGATTAGGTAGCTGCCATGTATGTTTCCAGGATACAGCATCTACCAGACGGTTCCAATGAGGTTTCTGAAACATGGATCCGACTAACTTATTGTTCTTACGAAGAGATGAGGTGAGTGAAATTTGCCAACTGGAGAGTCCATGGGAGTCAGAAAAGAAGATGAAGAAGAATTGAGTCTTGGCCTCTGTCTGACCAGGAGTTAAGCTATGCTGATGCTCCAAGAATATGGAAGAAAAACTGGAATCTGCCTTTTTTTTTCTTTTCTTTTTTGCACCTAATTTTAAATACTGAAATTATTTCTGGTGAAAATTCCCCTGCAAAAGATTCAGCTGCAAAAAATAGTCATTAAACTATATATTTTTTTAATTTAGGCCTTAATTGGCATTAAAATTAATTAAATGTGATTATTGTGGCATTTAAAATGCTTTATTTTCAAAAAAAGTTAATAAAAACAATTTCCTCAGATATATTAAATCATGATATTTTTGCGTGGAACTGCTTCTGATCGATCGTAAAGCCGTATGTTTAAGCAGTCGAGCAGCTTCTAGCTAATGAAATTAGCTCATTTTGTCAGAAAAACAAACATTTTGGTTGGACTTGTAGATTTTGCTGATGTTCCGTCCACTCTTACTTTCTGTTTCTTTCCTTGCTTGCTTGCTTGATGCAATAGCAGCTGTGGTTTGAAATGTCTCAGCTGATTGGTCTTGGTGTTCTTCCAGCTACCAGGGCCCTCTGATGGAGGATGGAGCCCTGGATGCTGTTGTCATCAAAGGAGCAGCTTCCCCAGAGTTCACCAAGCTATCTGCCTGGATCGTCTCGGAGCTCAGACTGTATCTGAAGCTGGAGGAAAACGTCCATGCTACTAACTGTAAGTTTCATTCAACCTCTTTGTTAATCCTGCCTCTGCTGCCGTTTATAGGATGTGCGTCCTTCGAACAAAACACGGCTGTAAATCATGTACACAATTTAAATATATCTGACAAAACCTCCACTGTACAGCTCCTTTTCCTCTTCTTCATGGACTTTGCTCTGTGCCATTTTGGAAGAGGAAGGATCCAGATCCAGACTGCTCCCACAAAGCTGGGATCATGTCTTTGGCTACGTTCACACCACAGCCTGAAGTGACCCAAATCCAATTTTTTATTTTTATTTTTTTGGGCCAATATGCGACCTGGATCTGATCTTTTCATGACAGTCTGAACAACACAGATCTGATTTTTTTTTTTCCCAGTGCGACCCAGGCCGCTTGGCTATGAGGTCCTGAATCCGATACGAATCTGATCTTTTCAAATGCGACCTGCGACCTGCGGCCAGGTCGCATTCATCCGACCTGAATGTCATTAATACCAGATAGTGGTCACTCTTCTGCTTCTTGCTATGCAGAAGTGGCAAGAAAAACAACAACAATGCTGGACAGAGAGCAGTATTTATGTTTCAAAATAAAAAAAGTTATACATGTCTCTTAGGGCCGTGTCAACACTACATGTTAAATTCAAGACTCTTAAAAAGTCTTGAATTTAACTTGCATTATGCTGTAGGAACCCTGTTTGATGATGTGGTGTTTTTTTTGCTTTCTCCAGGTCCCAGTGAGGCAGAGGGCTTCCAGCTGGAGATGAGTGGCCTTCTTTCCGAACTCGCCTGTCCTTACAGCTGTCTGACCAGTGGACACGTCACCCAGAGGTTTCTGAGCAGAACGGACTGTCTGCTCCTGATCAGTACGTCTTTGACTCCACACCAACACATCTACGTTCATGGTGAAGCTGGCACAGATCGTTTATCCTGTTGCCCAGGCTCAGAATTGGCACTGATGGGTGGAAATGCAGTTCTTTACTTTTGAATGTGTCTAAACGTGGGACTGGACACCCCATCTGTTCAGTAGAGTTGGTCTACCATCTACATCCTCACCTCCTGAGGTGCCCCGCTTTCTGTGGCTGTGTTCACACCTGCTCTGCTGTAAATAGAACAGTCTATTGATCTGGACCTTTTGTGCAAAACTTGCCTGCTTCCAGACGGAATCTGGTGTTCTCAGTCCCACCTAAACTTAGACACTTAGACAATTTTATTTTCATTTTGTGTAACATTTTGTACAACTTTCATGACATTTCCTTTCCTTAAAGTGCAGCAGTGATCAAATGTAAACAGTGTGGGAGAAAAAAAACATGGCGCAAAGAAACTCATTAATATGGAAGAACCATCATCCGTTTATCTATCCATCCTCCGTCCTTCTGTCCATCATTCGTCCGTCTGTCAACCGTCCGTCCGTCATCCGTCCGTCATTCCTTTATCCATCCATCATCCCTTTATCCATCCGTTTATCCATCCATCCGTTTGTCCATCCATCATCCGTCCGTCCATCATCCGTCCACCCATTAACCGGTTATCCATCAATCATCCATCCATCCATCATCAGTCCATCCATCCATCAATCATCCATCCATCAATCATCCATCCATCCATCATCAGTCCATCCATCCATCAATCATCCATCCATCCATCATCCATCCATCCATCATCAGTCCATCCATCCATCAATCATCCATCCATCAATCATCCATCCATCCATCCATCCATCCATCCATCCATCCATCATCCATCCATCCATCACTCATCTGGAAAGGCAGGAAATAAAAAAAGAAACAGTTCATGCCCCAATGCAAAAAATGGCCAAGCGCTGTATTGTTTAAGAATTTATGATTATTGAAGAATAATAAATGTTTTACTCAGAAATATACGATGGAACAAAATGTTATCTTAACCTGCTGCGCTATGAGTGATGTGAGGATGGGGCATCCAGCCTGCATGTGAAGCCCATATGGATATATAAAAAAATAAAATCTTTCACTAAATAAATGCAAAATGAGTTTTATACTGGGGCAGAATGATTTTACCAAAAAAATCTAAATTGTGATTATTTTCCACCAAAATTGTGGTATTTTTATATATTTTTTTTTTTATTGGATTTTCCTTTGCACTAACCCCAAGCTTGTAGATGTTTCATCCCAGGCTTTTGGTTTTGGTGAGCCTGTTTTCCCAGAGTCCATTGTTACAGGACTTCACTGTAATTATTGTGTAAAAAAAGTGTTTACTTCTACTTGCATGCATGGATCTGCGTGCTAGCTGCAACTCTCACTACATTTCTGTATGGCGACAAACCATGGATGAAATTTAGTGTCCCACTCTTGTTAAATATATTGTGATTTAACAATTTGACAATTGCCTTTTGTTAAATTGCGATTATGTTGCAAATGTAATTAATTTCTCAGCCCTATTGCCTACTATGTGTGGTTGTTTCAGACTTAATTTATATTTTATGTAATGGAAATGGAAACTAAAATCTTTCTTTTTACATCATGATTGGCCAGTAAACTCGCCCCTGCATTTAACCACACAGTTCCACTGGAACCTTCTGAACCATTTGATGTCAGTGAAGGCAAACCCATTCAAAGAGAACAACTTTAAATCCTCACATTTGGAACCAGGCTGCCGCACAAAGACTGCTCCAAGTAAAAAAAAATTTGGGAGTGTGCAACCTAGTGCTGAGGCTGCACCGCATGATTAATACACCTTAGGCGCACGTACCTTCACGCCCTGTACCAAACAGAGCTTAACCAATCGGCAATCCTTTGCTTTGTCATTTGCCGTGCCTTTTTTCTTTCCCTCTTCGTATTTTGGTGAGTTTTTGTTCCTCACAAAAGGAATATGGCGCTCTCCCTTCTGCACTCATGGTTCTGATTGAGCTGGTACCTTGAACACGCCTCTTTATAGGTGTGCATTCATCGATCGATTCATGCTGTATCTAGTTAGGCTACATTCACACAGCAGCCTGAATTGACCCAAATTTAAATTTTATTTTTTTCCCATATGCAACCTGGATCTGATCTTTTCATGACAGTCTGAAAAACTCAGATCTGATTTGTTCCAATGCTGATGCTGGGTGCCGTTATTGTGGTTTAACTAGATAGAATGGCAGTAATGATATTTGAACAGATAGTTATATAGAAATCTAGTGTCTATCTCAAGCCAAAGCTAAAATTATTTAATGTTCTCTTCCTCCTGCAGCCTTTTTATTGTCCGAATTGGATGCATCCAGGATGATTCTGGTTAACAAGCCTCAGAGGAAAGCCCAAGAATCTGGCAGTCCGGTCTTCCAGGAACTGAAGGGCATCTGCATGGCCCTTGGCATGTCCAAACCTCCACCCAACATCACCATGTTCCAGTTCTTCTCCGGAATAGAGAAGAAGGTCTGTCTGGCAATAAATACTTTTTAGTTTTTCTTCACGTTTTCTCTAGCTCCAATTTACAACATGAAATCTCAAGGCACTTTACAGAGACAATTCAACCAGATCATACAGTCAGATGGGTTCAATTCTAGATTCATTGACTCTTCAGCGATTCCCTTACACCGACAATGCACGCAGTGACAGTTGAGAGGAAAACTCACAGAACCAGAACCAGGCTCAGTGTGAGCGGCCATCTGCCGAGTCTGACTGTGGTTCAAGGAGACAGAAGCAGACATAGAAAGGAAACAGCATATAAGTACTTTGTTAGAAAAGCTAACAAGCTCCACAGGTGTATCTTTCTGGGAAAGAAACTTTTAAGGAGACAAGCTTTGAGCCTGTTTTTATGTAGAAGGATCAAGAGAGAACATCTAGTTATCCAGTCAGAGAAGCAGGACCACACTGAAAAACATGCCAATCCCCATGTATAAACCAAGGTATGATGGCACAGCTGATATTTCTCTCCAGGATGGAGTCACAGCCAAACAGGAACAGACCAGATGAAGATACT